TAAATATCTGAATAAAATAATATAATATTAAATCTGTAATATATATATATATATATATGTGTGTGTGTGTGTGTGCGTGCGTGCGTGTGTTTATGTCATGCTCACGAAATTTGTTCGTAAAACCCGTGGATATTCGACAAAGGCATGCTACGGTATAATTATTGCTTTACTCATATGCCTGCGCATAGACCTTGATCTTATGCATGCTAATTTGTTAGGATTTATACGTAGCGCTGCGTTATCCGATAACAATGCATTAATCAAATGGCGATTACAATTGGTCGTTCGGCGTTTATGGAATGAGTAAAGTAGGTTAAGTTCATATATTTTGAGAATTATTTGTGACCACGTTGAGATATCTTCGTAATTTGCTGGTGTCACTTGTGTGTGTCGCTGAAGTATGAAAATACTTGTCGCATTGTTATGTTATCTCGCGTTGTCACATCAATAATAATATTACTATTATTATTACTTTATTAAGCGGTAATAGAAATTAATACAGACGTTATAATATTATACGTAATAAGTGAGTTATACTTAAGAGGACGGGGCGACAGTTTTTTCTCTTTTCTTTAGCAACAGTATAAACTGATGAAATTGTGTACGTCACTTGAATTTGACCACTATATTTGAGTAATACACTTAATTCCTCTATCTTGCGTATCACCTTTACACTGTATGACATTATTGATTGTTAAAAATAGATCGAATAATTATTTCTTGCGGGAAAAATTTCAATTTTAGAAATGCGGCGATAAATTAGACGACGTCGCGAACAAAAAGATTCGCTCGACGATTCCGATGTCCGCGATAATCGAAAGAAGGTCTGAGGTTCTCATCAAACGCTGCGATTTCATATAAAGTTTCGTAAATGGAATACTTAATAAATTATGATCCGCGATCCTTAGGCGGGGGATCGATATGATGCACCTCGCTTCTTTATTAATGCCAGCCTCTCTAGCGAATCGTTGGCTTAATCGCACGCTGACCTTACACCTTACCGGTTTCGTGAAACATGCAAGATTACCACGACAGTTCGATCAGTGTTTCGATCACCGGACGAGCATTCCGGCAAATTGGCGGATTGTAAATCACAGCACGTTCTGCACGCGTCTTGTTAAATTTATGAATCACACGCGAGCCTTCGTGATCGACGATCGATGAGAACCTTTCTCCAACGAAACAAAAGGCGACGCGATCATCGTAAAATCGACACGACAATCCGACACGCTCCTTCCTGCCGTTGTAAACAGCAACGTGGCAAGGTGTGCGCGATGCACTTGGCGTGCAGGCGGACACATTTCTACGACTGTCTGCCCATAAAATACTGGCAACACGACGATAAATTTTCGGTGGCTCTCTCTTTCGTGCACGCGCGGCCGGATGAGTCTCCTTTGTAACCAGCAAAGTTAACATTTCGAGCTCGACGGCATTCGCCGACGAAGAGACCGACGTAACGTCGCGATGCCGAGTGCGCCTGAAAAGATAACGTTGGGTCTATGCTAGACACCGAGATAACTTCTCTCGTAAGTAACACGCGAGGATATCCTCGAGGGATAAGTGTCATTTCGCGGGAGGAATAGCGCTCATTTCTTTATCTTACGTCCTGCAGTATTCATATCGAGGGAACATACATAATTAAGAACAAGTGCTAACGTTTGATTAGTTACTATGCAGAGCATTTTTCTTAAAGTAATTAAGATAAGGAGCGGGATAATTAATTACAAATAGTGAACACTCGGGAGAAATATCAGAAGTACGTGATATGGTTGCAATATCAAAGCGTTTCTCGCGTGCCGAATCATATACTGCGGATTTTTATGTTGGGACTTTTATTAGCCATGTTAGCTTGCTCTAATCGAATTGATGAAAAATTACGAATAATAACGAAGGAACGCGAGAAAAAAACGCATTGACTCTAATGATAACCTCTCTTTTTGATGTTCGCAAAATATCCGTCGTAAGAGAAGAAAAAATAATGTGAGGGAACTTTAAAAAATCAACCTTTAGAAAATCAATATGTCCTTGAAAGAGGAGGACAAAACAGCAAGCCGAGAGTTTGGGATGTATTTGAGGCTTTGCGTGCGCGTGTTCGCGAAAAGGGGTGCGGATTTAGACGAAAAAAATTTATTTCCCTTGCCTAGTTGAATGAGGAGGGAACAAGCGAGTATTTGATTCGGCGCATGTAGGTCGATTAAAATAATTGCGGTGTTCTCGTGTAATCTATATCGAACGTCAGCATGAGACGAAACTTTTTACCTGATTAATTTCACGATCGCAAGATGAACGCCGGATAAGGGTGTTTCCAAGGAAATTCTCTTTCTATTCTCCGGGAAACGCGGAAAGCGTCAACGCTATGTCCGAATTTTCCAAACTGATCGATTTCGTGTGTAATTCAACGAGGCTTGTTTAAAGCTCACTGTCGGTATATATGATAGTATATAATGGGAATAGATGCTGAGCGATAACGATGCAAAACAGAACGCTTCGAAGGATCGTTTCCGGGTGGTAGCCCAAAAGGGAATCAAGCTGTGGCGGGTTAATAAATCTGGCCGACAATGTTCGCGCAGTGACGCGACCAGGGGTAGTTAGTAGAACGTAACAGCGTCTAACCACGGCGTCTTTCGCGGCGATCGAAGTTGAGCTCAGCGAGCCAGCCAGCCAGCCAGCCAGTCAGCTCTGCTCAGATTCTCAAGGAAAGCGGTAAGGTAACCACCTTACGGTAGAGCATTTTCTGCTTTAGTGGTGGCAGCACGTAGGGGGTTACGTAGTGGGGGTACTTAGAAGGCTTAAAAGGCCTTCCGACGTCCTTGTAACACGCAGTCTTGGAATCAAACATACTTAGTATTCCGTGTAAGTGAAACGAAAGTGCGAGGAGTACTTTCGGCTCTAACCCTCTGACGGCGCATCGTTGACCGACTATACTTTTGTCGCGGTGAACTTTCGACTGATGTGCAAACAGAGATTAATTCGTCGGGAAGATACATCGTCATAGGGAAGCTTCCCCATCAGGGAAGGAGTTTGTAGACGAAGTAGAGCAAAGATCCCCACAGAAGAAAAGAAACGGTTCTCTTCCTTGAATCATCCCTTTCTTCGCTGCGACCCGGATTTGTGATTTGTGATCGTACAAGTGATTATCGATTGAAACATTATTCGCGTCACGATCAATCAAAAAACCATGAGAGGCGGAATGGGTCTCCGGATAATTATATCAATTTTATTGGCCATCTCAATATTCTCGCCGCCGATGTCTGCTGCCCTCACGACTTTCGGCAAGACCAACCCGCAGAATCAAAACCCGCCACCGCCCCCTACACCAGGTACGTGACGAACAAGTAACGAAAATTTTAAGTTAATATACGCTGAATAACTTTCTCTCTTTCTCAAAATAATTATCGAATGAAATCATGGATCATTTGTTATTTCGTTAGAATGGCTTATTTTTTATTTTAGAATAACATTAAGTATTATTATAATATGCGAATTATTTACTTGTACTTATCACACGCAATGGAAGAATGCGTTTGCACAAAATGTTTGTCCGTCGAATCAAAAAATAATCTGTTGAATCAAAAGATAATCCGTCATAATTTATAATTGTTCGGAATCAGAACATATCTCATGATATACACAGTAAAATTATCATATCTCATGATATACACAGTCGAAAAGTATTTTGAGGCAAATTTACGAGTGACAAAGATGATCTTTATATATGTAATAATCTCGTTAACTTCGTTCGTTGACTTTATACTGAATGAAAATGCTATTTGATTTTATCAATTATTTCTTTTGTATTACTGCGAAATATGGATTACTTAAAATTATTATGGAATTTCAATTTAAACATGCTCCATAGAATTAAACTTGATGTTATTATTTTATTCCAAGTAGATAATATTGTGTTTTATTAGTAGATTTTTGTGTACAACGGAATGCCATGTCCAATAACATTATATATTACGAAATATCATTTCGGTATTTATAAAAATATATTAAATAATTAGTCGCGACATCTCTATTCAAAACTAGAAATAAAAATCTGACGTCGGAGCATCAAGGTTAAACTGAAATGTAGATGAATACTAATGTTCTGTTGAATGTCAAAGTTCTAATTCGCATGACTTTTGACTCTTATTATCCGCAGTTATTCACGCTCCTTTGCACGACTGAGCTTGTAAGTTTCGCTCTGTGGAACATTATGCTTCTATAATAGTTTGTACTATAATCAAGCGTTAATAAAAAAAAGGAGAAAAAAAGAACAGCTGCCTAATATGGTTAAATCAAATTATAACGCACTTTGGATATCAATTTTGCTGTCAATTTGCAAATATAAGTTTTAATGACTTGCCGAGACGATACTACGTGCATTTTCTGCGGAGCGAAAACGAGAAGGCAAACTATCTGAAGATAGAATAAAACATAGAGTGGCGCTTCAAAATAACGAATAATATTTACAATCGCAGTTGGAAAAGCTCGAGAATGCAAGATGCACAGCGATTGTATCGGAATTCAAAACACCTCGTGTATGTCGGATTCCCAGAATGGAAGAACTCGATGTCTTTGCGGCGATTATTCGCCGCCAGTCAACGGTGCCTGCACTAATAAATTCAAAGGTAATGGAATGTTTTATCAATGTTACTTCCCGACTGGTTGCTTTAGCTCGTTGTAACTGAAATACGAACGCGACAGTGGAAAATTAATTACGATACGATTGGCTTCATAGCGTAGAGTGTAGAGCGTCTCAGAACAATTGAAAACTATCTTAGCGGTGTAAACTTTGATGAATTCAAAGAGACGAGAAATTAATCAAGAATCTATTTTTGAAGTATTTTCCGATAGGACTCTTTAACGTGTCATATGTGTTATCGTTCGTTATTTAATTTCTCGTGCACCTGTTCGACCATAATACTCTTGATAAACGCTTGGCACACCTTCATCCGTTACACCTATCACTTTAATCCTGCGGATTAGTCGAGCTTCCAATGGGATGACTTTAACCCAGAGTCGGTACTGAGATTTGCATATACTTACGTGCTGTATTGCAATATGTGAACATATGACGGTATTCGTAGGCAGTCTATGGTTATCTATGCAAATTGGAACGGGTAAAGAGTACCGCCCCGACCTTCCTTTCGCTCTGTACCGATACAACCCGTTTTCCTGCTCGCGCTCCCCGCACGGCAGGAAAAACCACGAAAGTAGAACGACAAAAGTAAAGCTGACACGTTTTTTGCAGACTGCGCGCATTGAACGTGTGCTTATTATAACGTTTCGCAAATTATGAGACGTACTCGTCGAGTTAAATCCATGAAGACGTTTCTCTGTTTCCGTGGCTTTCGTATTAAACGGCGATAAATCATCGATGAGAACGGGAACGAACCACGACCGTGCCTGGCACGATGCAGTTGAAATGTTGAACCGAATCTTTGAACTTTGGAAAGCGTATAACGTGTAGTCGAGCGATTTGTAGTTCGATACGTAATATTAGAGGCTCGCAAAGCCGCTCCGGAAACTCGGTAATTTCGCTTGATTAGATGATCACTATGCATGTTTCCCTTTTGATTTTCGGCGGAGTTGCCGATGATTGCCTCGAACGTTTTAGGTACAATTAGCCACGAATCGATCGCCGCTTAAGAATTATGTCGGAAACGTGCTCGCGCGAATACACGTCGCTCGAGAAATTAAACGTTGAGTTGAGGATTCAGCGCGGCGCCTTTTATCAGAATTAAAAATTGCGCTTACGTGCATCGTAAATCTGACAAATAGCCGAGCTCTTCGAAAGATTCTCTAACAAAATAAATCTTTAGAAATCTTAGTTTATTGTTTATCGATAACTATTTACTCCGTACATTTTTCGATTACCTTCAAAATTGCGCGTCCTTTTTTCAGCACTTCATGTGTCCTGCAATGACGATACAGAATGCATAGATGACGCTCACTGTGTTCAACACAACACTACTTTGGGAAAACGCTGTTACTGTCAAGATGGATTCTACGAAGAATCCAAAATGTTTTGCAACGGTGAGTTCCGCTTTCTAGTATTCCCGTTAAAATAATTTGAATTAATAAATGCAACTGAACTGTTGCAGCGTTTGAAAAGAAATTTTACTAAAAGTGAAACAGAATTAAAAAGTAATTGTAAAGTGTCAAATCATAAAGAAATCATAAAGTCTATTGAAATAATTTCAATAGTGTTATCATGCATTTAAATATTAAACATTTATTATTTAATTAAGATTAATTTATAATTAAGATTTGATTATTTTATATTTAGTTACTATGCAACATTTAATATTCAGATTCGAGACAAATATTTATTACATTTTCTGCCTTTTCTGAAGAAAGAGGAAAATTATTTCAATTCGTGTGAAAAAAATGGAAGAAACCGGATAATTTACGCATCAAGTGTCACTTATCGGACAATGTGAATTGAACTATAGATCGAATCTCCAAATTTTAAAATTTGTAGTTCGATATTATGTAATATTAGAGGCGTAATTGGCATACATAGTTAAAAAAAAGTAGGATGATGTAACAATATCGTAGTTGCCTGGAGATTCATAATATGAACCATAAGAAAATCTGCCGTGACAAATATAGTGTTATGGATGTTCCTTGTAAAATAAACAGCGAGATAATAGGGTGTAGTTTTTGATGCCTTGGCAAAATACATCAAAAATACATCATCATCTCAAGACATGTTTACGTCCTTCCTAGGTTGCTCATCAATCTTCACGTTGTACACGACGACTCTTCTGGCTGGTTCGCTGGTGCTAGGAAAACTTAACTATATCTAAATCTCTCTGCGATATATTTCAAAACAATATCTCGACAATTCCTAAATTCATACAAAGGCACACGATAGAAAACGATCATTTATAAAAGTGTCAACGTTTCCGTTAATTTGACGAAAGCGTTTTAGCAGAACGTGTACGTTCAAATTAGAAGGTTGACGAACGTTCATGTGTCAAATAGCCACGAATTCTGACTAGATTCCGACTAAGTAATGAGTCCTAGTAATTGCGCACTTTCTCTCAGTTTTATAGATTTCTCCGTAAAACAATTTTTTTCTTAACAAAAATTTGATAAATGCCATTTTGTTTTAACGAAGACTTGCGTAAAATGTTAAGCTGCTTACATGTTTGCGGAGACTTCGAAGTCTCGTAATTGTTGGTAACATAAAAAAAAGAAGTCACCGATTTCTTCACATTAAGGCAATCGCCATCCTTCCCATTTTGCTTTTTATCTATTGTGATTTAAAACAAGTGCGTGATTTCTAGGACAGAATTTAAGATGCTTTATGTTACAAGCGTACGCGGAAAATCTCGAATTTTCTTATTCGTCTTTAATATGGAAAATTAAGATCATTTTCACATTCGATTATTTGATGGGTAATATATTCATTTGCAATAAAGAAAATGCGCCTAACATTGCAACCAAATCGCAGGGAAACATTAAAACTAAATCAAATTCCTTCTATAGGAGCTCCGAATTATTCGGTGCTTTCGTCTATCGTTAACTTTGAATCTGTATAAATAAACGATGACTCAAATAAGAAGCATCGTCAATTTTATCTTAAAGCGTACTACTAAAAGTTTGATCTGGTTACCAATTTATACGTAGCTTATATTCATGATCAAGTCGGCAAGCCGAACGTTAATTCTGAACCACCTGTATGCGAACAATTATCAATTAATTAATCCTAAATATAAGCACTGATCCTCCGTATTCATGTATATTCTCGATACATTGAGTATCTTAACGTAATTGATATTGAAGAAAAAAGAAAGTGTTACAGTCGTTGTGCAAAAAGAGTACAATTGAGGGAAATAGTTCAAATAAACATATTCCACGCAAATTTTATCTTATCGCGTGATCTATCATTTGATTACTATTACCATATCCAGATTTCCATGTTGTGTTTCACCAGAGATCATAGCATGAATACGGAAGATTAAAACAGTACGTTTACACGTTAATGCACGTAAAACTTATTGTTAGATCCATACTCTGGCTGTTTTTAAAACCTGAAATAATAGAGAGTGACGCTTTGATAGAAAATTTTTGTACATATTTAGGCATCGCGTTTCGATTGCACCAATTAATAAGAACGTTCGGATGCGCACAAACTGATATATCTAATATGATTTATTCTGATGTATTTCCCACAACATGCAGAACTTGTAAAGTAGAGAAAAAAATCTTAGAACGACATAATTCAACAGTAAATCACGTAAAATTGTCCAAATATTCCAGACTTCTAATTTTAAGGTTCAGAAACGATCAATCAATCAAGCAATCTAACTCAATGTTTTATCAAACTCAATGATCGATATCAATCTCGTCTTAATACAGTTGAACTGCAAATCGATATATGCGGTATAATACGCTTCGGTGTCGGAATAACGATCGAATTAACATATATAAAGATCTTTTCGTGAGAAATAAAATAAAATTCTGCCAATGATGCCTTAATTACTAAATGTAACTGCACATGACAAATGTAATATGTAATTATTTCTGCTGTTGTATACTTAATAGTCGTAGAAGTCTATCGCAGTGCGTGTTTAATTTAATATAAGTATCTTTTGTAAACTTTGTAATATGATATTAGTCAAGAATACTTAGAATTATTGTCCTTGCTCTAATATCGTTTCATATACTTAAATATTTTGCGCACAAATAAATCTTTGAATCTTTTCGAAATATTCACTTATTCTCATGTGTATGTTGGGGAAGGAATCACTCACAGATTGCAAATATTTAATTTATTCTTGCGCAAAGGTACATTTGCGGCAAATTATTTCTTTTTAAATACCAATTGCGTTATCGTGTTTCCCGTCTGCCCACCAAACTGAAATGTATCCGTGGGCAGTTGACTTTCCAATTCGAAATCTGCAAACAATAATTATATTTTCGCATTATTGTGTTATCGTAACTTCGCGGTGCCACGAAGTTTTCTATTAGCAAGAATGTTTGAAACGTCTTTAATGAGATTGTCAAGGAGATAGAAACGCATCTCTCTAAGTTCCTTAACGACTTAAGATAAAGGGAAATCTTTTTATAAATTATACTAACGATTCGTAAAGTGCCTCAACAATTCTTCTTTCGTCCAATTACAAGAAGTTAAAACCAGATATCCTCCTGGCGAAATAATGCGATGTATGTTTTCTACGTATGTCTGTCGCTTCGCTGCTGGATCGTCCGGGCTTAAACTAATTGCATCGTAAGTTCCTTTATCATGAACGACTTTGAAGTCACACGACAGTGTATTGTTGAGAATATCGCAGACTTCTAATTTTACATTCGACAAGTTGTTATCGTTCAGCACCATGCGGGCCAAATCCACTGCTTTCTGCGAATAATCGACTCCCGTCAAGTCTGCAAACCCTTCGTTCGCAAGTTCCACCAAAGTCATCGCGTTACCGCATCCCACGTCGATTATTTTATCGTTCTCCTTATCTAAATTTAACTTCGTGGCGATCCACCTATAGAAGATAACGTTCTGCTTTATAATCGTGATAGTTTTGCGGTTAAGATTCCCTCTCATAACTTTCATTGGTTTCACTTATCTCAAAGAAATGATGTCAATTATTATTATTCGAACAAATGGAGAATTTCAGCCAAAATTAGCATTTCCTTCTCTACTTATATTGTAGTAATTACCACGTAACATACAATGTTATTATACGTAAGCACAACGGTCTTAAGAAAATTTGCGTGACCACCTACATTTAGACAGTTAGCTTATAATGCGCTATTATTAATTTTATGATCTATCATTATCTCCAGATGTATCATAAATATGTATATACATGCATGACACAGTAATATTATGTAGTTCTGTAAAATTGCATTCTTATAATTATTATTTATAGAGAAAAAAAGAATGCAACGAACACGAAGTTGGATTCGTTACAAAACGATTAAAACAATGACGTGACGTCAAGAATTTTCCACTTTTCACCGCGGAGTAAACTTCCCCTCAACAGTCGTTCAAATAATCGCGACAGAAATCAAGAAACAATGATCGAATATTTTTGATGATCTTTTAATCGCTTATTTTAATATTTCGAATTTTCACCATTTAAGGTTTCTCTGCTTCGCATTTTGTATCACGGATTATTTTTTTACACGAAATAAATAATATACAAACAATCGTAGATGAAGAATTCAATTAGCGTGACGCGTGTGCTATCAAGCGTTTCGATACCTCACACAATTCGATACTCGCAACTCGATACCAATCACATCTGTTGCAAGTTTACGTCATTGTGGCGCAGATGGCGATGCGGCGGTTCGTATCCGAGAGGCCGTCCTGCATCGATCACGATTTCGACTTGCCAGAGGTAAGTTTCGCGCGCGAATTGTCGTCCGGAGTGTCGAGAGAGTGAGCATCGTGCGTGTGCATGAAAGTATAACGCCATGTAGTCGCTGAGAGCGAATATTTCAGCGAAACAGAGTGTCGGGACTGCCAGCTAAAACGACCCGTTTTTGTTTGTTATGGCGGTCAAAAGTTCAAATTGCAACGTCACCTCCGTCGCGTCCGAATTACCGTCGGAAGTGTCGAAAGCAACACGCTCCGCACGCTGATCGTGCCGGAATATCGTTAAACGATCGCCGAAAATCAACATCTCGCGAAATCGCCCAACGGGAGCACAAAATCCTTTATGGCGGGTCGAGCAAAACTTCATTTTCGACAGAAAGTTCGCGAGATTTCAAGTCGGACACTTCATTCTCTCGATTCACCGAAGGAGAGGTCTTCGTGTTCCTTCAGACAAAGTATCACGCAGGAGTGAATGTCGTCAAGTGTCGCTCGTTTATTGGATTACGACAGGTCGGAGTTTAATTCGAAGGAGAAATCGGTGAGTGATAGTATGAAACCACAACAGTATATTTTACGACTATCAAGTTCGCATTTTTTTTTTAAATGATAAAAAATAGTACTATAAGATAAATGTACCAGTAATCGAACATATCTCACAATTATTGAAATATCAATAATATACTTTGTATTTCTAAAAAGTATTTGGAATTTTATTAAAGAATATTCTTTACGCTAATTTGTAGTATTATTCAATGAACATTCAATCATTGAGTCGGTATTATTCGGACAATTAAGCCAATTCAATTACTGGTACAACCGATATTATATCCCGGTCGCTGACAAAAATTTTATATAAACATTAGTTTTTTATTAATAATTCAATTAGTTATTTATTAATAAAAATGCAAAACTGATCGTGCTTTCTTTCTGATAGTCGAGTCATTGTTTACCCTACTGCATTATAGATTAACTGAACAGTTAACTTATAATGCAGCAAGGTAAACATTCCAGTGACTGTTTTCATTGAACGCTCTACGCGGTCGATAACGTCAATGTTTCCCGCATTTCATAGCCTCCGAGAACTTAAATATTATTGGAGTAGGATACTCGAGAGCGACTCGACAGATGTCGCCACGAGTAACGCGCGGACTGTCCGGCGTCATCTGACAGCGTCGCGGTGTTTACGTTTCGCGGTAAAAGACCATCGATTTTCCGGGGTGTTGTTTACCCGCAGTGGAAACGCGTGCGGTTTTCACTCCTTTGCTCGCCTACCGTACGACTTTGCGCGAATTGCCTGCGCCGAACCATATCTCGCCCACGTCGCCGTGGTCGCGGAAGTTGTCGAGCTCCTGCGCGTACGCGTTCTCCCAGCTGCAAGAAGCACAGAGACGTGAAAAAAAAAGCGGCGAGTAATGCACCACGGGTGTCGCGCGATCACGGTACGTATTTACTCACAAGACGAGAGTGCCCAGTTCCGAAGGTGCCAGTTCCCCGCTCTCCTGTTCTGTCATGACTTCGTTGCGATTCTGGCGACTGACAGCTTAGAACGACAATCCGCCACGGCTTTCGCGATATGCAATGACTTGCACGCTCGGACACTGCCCTGATTGTGAAATCGGATGATCACTTCGTCGTAAATCGATCGTAGACGAAGTAATGGACGCGGTTTCGAGTCGGGATCAGACTCGACATGCGATATTTATTCGTGAACCGGCCCAACGTGAGACCACGAGGACGTGTGTTGCTTCGAAACTCGTTGGTTAGGTGGCAGCAATTGCCAAATAGTAACATCTGTGCCTTCGTGTCGTACCTAACCTCGCCGAGATACCGTGTTCATTTTTTTACTTAACGGTACTGTCGTCGTGATTGTGCAAAACGTACAGCGTTTGTGTTAACTTACACGTCACAATTTTGAAGTTCTCTTAGCTCGGACTAGCGAGTATCACTCATTTCGACATGAGTGTTAACAGCTTGTCGAACTTCTTATATCTTGGTAAGTACATAAAATTATCATTTCCACCTGACATTTAATGAATTAAGCAATTGCAACGAATGACAATAGTACGACATTGAGTAATTATAATAGTAGCATCATAAATTGCTCTGTAACAGACAACATTTTGAGAACATTAGGTGCAGTTTTCCAAAGATTGAAAAGTCAAAATTGTCAATTATCATTTATCCTTTAAAATGGCACATGACACCTCTTATTTCTCTTAGTTTCTAATCGTTATTTAATATTATGAATCTTTTAATATGAACTGCTGTTTGTAATTGTGTCTGAAAGGTACTATCATGCTGCAGTTTGCGCAATCTATCTGGTTGCAAGTGAAGTAACTTTGTCATCGTTGCTGAATTTGTGCACACTTTCATTGATCATCTAGATCTTCTCATTTAACAATTAAGTGAGGGTATGCAGGTAATACTAATATGATGTCATGCAGGACGGCGGTGTACAAAGTTGTCTGTGGCAGTACGACGTTATGCCTCCACTGCTGTGAATCCAGTAGACAGAGACAATGTGAAGCCAAAGACTGGTATAATAATGTTAAATATGGGTGGCCCTTCCCATATTACTAAGGTTCACGAGTACTTGTTAAGAATAATGACCGATCGCGATATGATCCAGCTGCCAGTTCAAAGGTTCCTTTAATTTTGTAGCACACACGACACGCAGTGCAAACGGTAGGCTGTTATCTCGGGGAGATTTCTTTTGACAGATGTATGTTGCAGTCAATTGGGACCATGGATCGCGAAACGACGTACCTCAGAGGTGCAGAGAAAGTACTTCGACATTGGTGGCGGTTCACCGATTCTGAAATGGACGAACAAGCAGGGCGAACTTTTATGCGAAAAGTTGGATAAAATTTCGCCCGAAACCGCACCGCACAAATATTACGTTGCCTTCCGATACGCGGATCCTCTCACGGAGGATACGCTCGAGAGGATACACAAGTACGGCTATCATATTTTCTTAGGCGTAATGCAACGTAAACATGTGCGACGTATAAACGGCGCGCGTTACGAGATAATTGGAATCGATTTGTGTTTTTCCTTTTTCAGCGACGGGATACAGCACGCTGTACTTTTTTCACAGTATCCACAATACAGCTGTTCGACTTCGGGCTCCAGTTTTAACGCTATATACAATTATTACAGGACTAGGTGATTATGCCTTTGTTTGTCTGTTTATTCGTTATATATAGATTTATTGAAAGTGTCGAGGAGACCGGGGCTATTTGGCCACCGAGGTAAAAGTTGGCAAAATCGATTATTTTTACTGTTCTTTAACAGATTTCAGAATCAAGCAAGCAGGAATTTCAAAGCCATCATGTTCAAAGCTTTGATATGTTTAAAAATCTTGCTTGCTTCATTTTGTAACTTGTTAGACAATACTAGAAATAACCGATTTTGTCAACTTAGCCCGATAGCTAGCTAGCTCTGATCTTTTCTACAAGTCACATATTTATTGTACAAAATATACCCAAGTTGTGTAAAACGTTTTTCGCGTTGTCCCGCGCGAGGTAGAAACGAAAAAATTAATGAAACGGAGAATGAAATGTACGAAAATAAACACACAGACACACAGAGAACAGACAGAATTACGCCTTTGCAGAGAATTACCGCGCGAGATGAAATGGAGCGTAATAGATAGATGGGCCACACATCCCCTCCTTGTAAAAACATTTGTCGAAAGAATTAAAGAGGAGCTCGCCCACTTTCCTAGCGAGAAAAGGGACGACGTCATAATTCTATTTTCAGCTCATTCTTTGCCGCTGAAGGTTGTCATTCTTAAATTAACGTATCTTTAATTTTTTAATTAGAGTTTCATCTGATTTTTCTGCAATCACTTTAGGTTGTTAATAGAGGAGATTCATATCCCGCGGAGGTCGGAGCTACGGTGGCATTAGTAATGCAGGAATTAAATTACTGCAATCCGTACAGCTTGGTGTGGCAATCGAAGGTATACACACACATTGCCGTAAATAAATGTATTTCAAGATTTAATGATATTCATCGACCTGGTGAAGGAAATAGCACGTTATTTTTGTCGCGCGTTATATATTTTGTGATATGCATATTCAGGTCGGGCCTATGCCATGGTTAGGACCTTTTACCGACGAAGCGCTCAAGGGCTACGTTAGACAAGGCAAGAAAAATTTCATTCTGGTACCGATCGCATTTGTAAACGAACATATTGAAACTCTTCACGAACTGGATATAGAGTACTGTCAGGAGCTCGCCGAAAAAGTAAGAACTGCTGGCAAACTTTCGCTGTCTGTTTTCCCTGAGAAACGCAAATGTCATTTTGGATTTCTTTCCAGCTTGGTATCGAGAAAATACGAAGGGCAGCGGCGCCCAATGTTCATCCTTTGTTCATCGACGCTTTGGCGGACATTGTAGTGTCCCGCCTGAAATCGAAGCAAGCTATAAATCCGAAATTTTTGACGCGATGTCCTCATTGTGTAAATTTAAATTGCGACGCCAGCAAAAGTTGGTACGCTAAAATCTGTGGAATTTAGCGATAACTTTTCTTTATTACTTATTGTATATGACCCTGTTAGAAATGTTATGTGATAGCGTGTTTATCATTACACGTGTATTACATTTGGAAGAATGTGAGCAAGTTTTATGAGCAGGAAAACGAACAAGTTCTATGAGAAACATATATATGTACTGCATTTATGAAAGTTGTACAATAATATCGAATAAACTGTAACGTACTTGTTTTATTTTACAAGTCCCCAGCGGATCCTCTTTACAGAATCAACAATTAAAACGCGATTTTTTTGTGAAGAATTATTTACATGTTCACATATAATTGTTGCAATTGTTCGTATGTACGTTTTTCCGTTTCCGGTATAAAGTCCAGGATGACTGAGACAGTATTGCCGACTCCCTTTTCGAATAAATACAATATCTAGCTTTTGTCTATAATATCTATAGTTTCCTATAATGAGTCTTCGTTTATTCAGTACATTCTGCCCGCTCACTCAGCGCATTTCCACCTTTTTCGCGATGTTAAACCACGATTACATCAGGTGCATCGGCAATCTCGATGTTACACTTCCCCTCTGCTTGCTTACCGGCTTTGTCTCGCGGCAATGTCGCGGCAATCAGAGCGTAATAATCGCGCCGTTGCTTCGGAAAAACAGCAATTGTGCACCGTGTGCGAAACGAGCAGCATTAATTATAATCGTACAGTTGTCTATAAAATACCCGCAGGCTATACGTGTTTCTACACTGTGTTTCCGGAATACGTGACAGTTTATTGTGATCACGCACATAAACGATTTTATTAAGTAAATCGGATAAAATAATAACAATAATAATAATACGCAGATTCTCAAGAAACACAGTTTGTTCACCTCGATTATTACATTTCCCTGTAAAATGAGACATGAGGAAAATACGAATTTTCTGCCATTCGTATTTTTATCAATTGCATTTATCGTTACAAGTGATTGGCATAAAAATATTGATTAATTAACATGAATCAACGTTAACATTTCTCCCTTAACTTTACTGTTACGATTCGACTTTATTTTCTAAATTAACTGTAGATAGTTTCTCATTAATTAATTAGTTTTTGATGTTTATTAATTACTCACTTTTATCGTGCGCATTTTATTAGGCGATATATATAGCGAATATCGTAAACTTTCCAATAATCTGTAAATTATTTTGCCGCGAGTCAATTTCCAACGTTATCAGTCCACAGTAGAGATTTTCCGTCAATCTTTTTCGTAGTTTCGAGCACAAATATCAAATACTATTGATATTTGTGCAAATATATAAATATCTCGGCTTCATTCACCCGTAACGGCACAGAGATCAAACAGTCTGTATTAAAATATTTGCAGTTAACCGCGAACGATGTGACGTGGCGGAGTAAAGTTTAAGTTGCATCAGAAAATCGTTCGGATTAACGATGCATTAGCGTGATCGCTTTCGTTCCTTTGCCTTTTTTAAATTAAACTTTTATCTATGCACGCAAAATTACTGCTATTATGTATTGCCGAATTACTGCTATTACGTATTGCAAAATTGCTGCTACTACGTATTGCGCTGTATTATTGATATTGATATAGAAATTTATCATTTTATTTCTCGGGGTTTTCAAGTATTCGGAACAGAATAAATAATTTGAGTAGACGCGAAGTAAATATCGTTAGAAGGAGAAGGTAGTATATAACATTTTTTTAAAATAAAGATAAAACAACTCTCCTAGGAAACGTCCTCGCCTTCATTGCGAATTATTCGTTCCGCGTCGCCAGACACGATATATCGCTCATACATGTATATCCCGTATACATTATTTATTTAATGTTTCACCGATAGTGGTAAGCGCCTCGATATCTTCGCTCAGCCCTTTTCGCGACAGTCGAGAAAGCGCGGACGTCGTCCCGTGCGTTTTATTCGCTCGACTCGTGCGAGCAAGAGAACCCGACACGGTATTACGGTTTAAGCTTCCCTCAGCACACGCCTCTCCTACAACGGCCCTTCGATTTCTTTGCAGGTTCCTTACGAGGGGTTTATCCCAGCGACAGCGTCGCCGTCGTCGTCGTCGTCGCGGTCGTCGACGTCGGAGTGCCGCCTCTGCCGCGCTCCTCGAGGTATCGAACGTGAGCGGCGCGGCGCTGCCTGCTGCGCCGGGTATATAAATGCGCGGCGCCGGCGGGCGCGCTCAGTATGTGTCATGCATTGCGAGTGCAAGCGTCGTCTGTGATGGCGGCCCGAGTGCGGTTGAAGATGCCGCGCCGCCGTTGCTGCACCACCGCCGGCGTGTCGTCGCTCGCCGTTCTGCTCGCGATGTGCGCTGTGAATCTCGTGAATGGGATGTTCGAGCACCGCCACTGCGACCACCAGCATCCGCGGGCGCACGAGGTAAGTGGCCTGGTGATGCGCCGCGAAGGGCGCGATTCTAACCTCTCTTCGTTCTCTCTCGCTCGGTTTCACAGCCTTTCGAACGGTCTCTTCCGTGTCCGTCCCGTATTCTTCCGCTCCGTAGCGAGAACGTCGGGACGCGTTGCGTTCACGCTCGGTCCCACCGTCTGTCTCTCCGGTTCGTTTCCGAGTCACCGATACCCTCGGCGCCCACGCGACAGCATTTCTCTCCTCTTCGTCTCTTTCTTCGCCGGAAAAGTTCTCATCTCGTCGTAGGGAACGAGCGGAGTTCAGCTCCTGTCAATTCGCGTCGCACGTGTTCCTTCCATCTCACTCGCGCGCATTGCGTGGCAACGACCGCGCGCACATCTTCGCTATTTACCGCGCGTAACTCCGACTGTCAAGCGTTCCCTCGGTACGTGCGTGTTCGCCGGAATATCTCGTAATGTTTCTCAATGTTGATAGCGATAGCAGTAATTATTACGAGCTCACTTTGTTCCGCGAGTTTTAATTGTAATTGCGCATCTCGCTGACGTGAAATCGCCGTACGATTCGAATGCGAGGACGTTTCACCGCGATCGAGACGCGTGTGTATTTTTCACTCATGTACCTCTCCGTTATGATCTTGTACCGTTCAAAAGGAAGACTTCAGTGAGAGTGTTTCCATGCGCGCCAGGGGGAGGGGGAAACACGTGTTTTCGGAGCAGACACGTGCTGCTGCGGGATGTCTCGCACTGACCTTTACAGCTCGCGCGTCGCGTTTTGTGAACTCGGCCTCGTTAACGTTTCGGTTGTCGTGTTAGTCGCTAGCGTTTCAAATATATTTTGAGGAATTATCTAAATATACGTTTCATTAATATGTTGATGATGTATAAAATTTGAAAGACACATTTATACCGTACAATTTGCCGTTTAAATACACACGATACTGGAGAGACGACGGCGCTAGCGTAATTTAGGAACAATACAAACATTTCATTGATTAAAACAATCGATGAGAAGTGTTATCTGAAATTTATTTATACTGTTAAATGTTTTGTGACCATTCAATCATTTCGCTGATGTGATTACCACCTATCTCATTAAAGCACCGTCACATTTGCCATAATATATATTCTTCGGAGTGCACCGCATTATTGCGTAGAACGAATTTTATCGTTAACCGTTGCTGTTCGATGAATAATTTATAATATTGTGGCAATTATATCATCGTCGAATATTAATTGCGATATTAGTTCTAAATATCAATTGTCATGCAACAGTTACAGCGTGAATTCTACCGTGTTATAGATTCACGTGTGTGACCCATTATATGGTACTATCACCGATTAAAAACGCGACTTGAAAATAAAACAATTAACAATATAAATACAGCTTTCTGCCTTTGTTCGTTTAACTGTATTGTGAAATTGCATTTTATAATCGAATATGTCTGTAGCGTATTGAGAGAATTTTAATAGGAGAAAGAGAGAGAAAGACAGACAGAGAGAGAGAGAGAGAGAGATTTGGTCACAGTAATATATTTAATATTAAAAGTTGAAAACTTGCAGAAAAAGAACAAAATCTCTCGTCAAATTTTAATTGGGAAAGTATTGACTTCGCCTTGATTAAAGAATCGATGAATGGAAGGAAGGGTAAAAGTGATGGGACACGTTGCATGAAGAAGTTTGTATCGTTTATTGGACATCGCCGTACTTTTGCGTAGATTAATTTCGTCCTTTGAGCGCGAGTTATTTTTTGCATGGCTGAAAACAATCGGCGAGTACGACAGAAGTTTTGAAATCGCGGACAGACCGGCCGTTCTTTCTATCTCGGCTTCTCTTTGCTTCCGAAAAGGCAGACTCAATTTGCAGGACTGAAACGGCCGGTGTAGAGGTGGTGATTCTCGATTCACGGGACGAAGTAACTCGATTGACGTTTCGCTCGATCAAATTTGACGATTTCCGTGGGAAATCGCCGACTGTAGCTGCGAAGGGTCCTTAGAAAGCGCGATGTTCCTTAATCTGTAGCTCATTAACGCGAATGCGGCAAAAAGGAATTTTTCCTCCGCGACGGGAAACGAGAAACAAGTTTCTTCCGACTCTGTCTCACATATATTCTGCATTATGGAACTTTTACGGAAACGGAATTTCCAAGTGAGGTCGGCCGTAGTGTGTGTATTTTGTACTTTAAATTTATTTCATACGACATAGTCACTTATTAATCAATAATATCACTCATGTCGCTTCGAGAGTAGCAAATCTGGGACGTTTGCTCGCGGCGTTTCAGTTGACTTTCTTGACCTCATAAATATTTTTTCCATCTCGATGTAGAATTTGCGGATGAAAATTAGAATATTCCTATGCGACGGTGAGTGTTATATCCACCCGCGACTTCAGAGTTTCGCGGTTCTATTGTTAAAATCCGTCCGTGTGAGTTGGTTTGGAGATATGCAAGAATAATTTAACTTACATGAAGTACGTTACGTAAAAAATGAAGGTGAAAAGTACAGATAGCACTTCGAAGTGTAATCGTTCAACAAATCAAACAAGTCAATGTTCAACAATTCAACGTTCAACAAGTCAATGTTTTTCTCTTTAATCAAATTCATTAAAGTCATTAAATTTAACAATGTTTTTCTCTTTAAAGGAAATCCTTTCTTTAATTCATTAAAGCTTAACCCCTAAAAAAATAGATAAAAAAGACGTGAGTAGTATAAAAAATGATGCAACTAGTAAAAATTAAAAATTGTTTTGTAATTAATTTTAGATTTCCATAAGGTTTGGATCTTTTTTTATGTATGAAAGACGTATGGACTACTCATTGGTAAAAAAAAAAAAAAAAAAAATACTCCTAATTTTTTTCAACAAAAAAGTCATAATTTTGCTGGTTGGATCATTTTTGCATAACTATGGCCAATTCAGATATCATTCCACGCGGAAACGATAAAAAAGAGTTGTCTCGTTTTTGATCACTAAAAATGGAAAATACGCGATGCGGTTGCAAGTTGCGATTTTGGCTCGCCAATGATTTTGGTTCCCTTGTGAAAAATCTATATGTGGAACGAGCAGGCTTCGTGTCGTCCCTATCATCGTCCGCTCTTACGACGGACAATTTCGCGCGCGCAGGATCGTCGATCGATTAACTTTTCCCTCCGGTCGTAGTTGGAATTTCCGTTTGCTGTAATTCGTTAGCGCTACAAACTGCCGTATCTAACGGCGTTAGCCGTTAGCGGCGAACAAGCCGCTCCTGGCCGAGATATATACATACCGGTGGTGTACGTGAGTGTATTCGCTTTAAGGATCGTTCCAAAGAGAATTTGAATGCGAATAAAAGTTTACGGTCGACGTGGCCACGTCGAACTAGCTCGCGCATGCCCGCGCTCACCGCCTTATGACATTTTGCGCCGGCGGCGCGCATTCGAGAGGCTAACTTTCCTACTCGACGATCCTCTCCGCCGTCGCCACGTGCCACGGTTTTCGTACTCTCCTTAGTAGGAACGTAATTCACATTTCGATAGGATCGCGCCCTTATCCCGGACGGGCCGCGGCGCATAAACGAGCCGCGGTAGAATTATGCGTCCTCGCCGCTGGCGTCCCGCCAGCTGTTTACCGGCTACTTTTTCTTCGCCGTCGATCCAATAATACGCGAAAGTCGGGACATTTCTCCGCGCAAATCGGTTTTACACGTAGCACGAATTTATTCTCTCCCGCCAGAGCGAGAGAGACGTCTTGGACGCCGCGATCGCTCCTCTTCTTCTTCTCGTCACGCGCGAACCATGTGACAATTTATAAGGAGCACTTCTCCTTAAAAGCGATTTTAATCTCGAAATCGTGCGGTAGGAATTAATTTGACACCAAATAAAGTAACGAGCGGTAAGAACGAATTAGATTCGGAGCCGTCGCGTTAGGATTTAAATCTGTTCTCGGCGCGACGAGATTGCACTCGTAATATCTATAAAGGGGATAATTATACGTAATACTTGGTAATTCGTTTTTGCCGCGAAGAGAAGAGGAGGAGCTGACGCGCGAGTGTCGAGTTTTTCCATTACGATTATCCTCGTAATTTTCTGCGGCAGCGAGAAGAGCGTCGCGGAGTGTCAAGTTTTCATTACGATTATCGGAAACGCTTTGCGCTCTCTTTTTCTATCTCTCTTTCTTTCTCTCTCTCTCTCTCTCTCTCTCTCTCTCACATTTACTCTCTCTCTCTCTCTCTCTCTTTCTTTCTCGCTCAGTCTCGCGGATCTCGAGTAAAAGTAAAACGAAGGTCGCGCGATTTCGAATTAGGAAAAAAACTTTCTGAGTGCTTCAATGAAAGTGTACGCGAATGGAATTTCGCTGGCGCGCATACATAGGCACACGCATACGCCGACACGCACACGCGCTCGCTCGCTCGGTTTCGCAGTTCGATATCTCTCTCTCTCTCTCTCTCTGTCTCTCTCTGTCCGACTCAGATTTATTTACGAAGCGGCCGGCTGAAACCTCGTGCAGGAAGGTTATTAAGAAACTCGATTCCCATCGAAGTTTATGGGTTTCGTGAAACGTCGGCGACGAGGAGAGGACGTCGACGGTGCAGCCGAAATACGCGACAACGAGGGGCTCAAGTGGGAGAACATATCGTGAAAACCGGACACGCGAGCTCTATCGTATCACATTTTTTCAACTTGAATCCCGCAGCTCGGATCGATCGGTCGACCGTGTGCTCGTAATACTAGTCCGCGTTGACAAATTACACGACAGTCCATAGAAACGGCTACATATTATCGATGCTGATACATTTTCACATCCGACGAATCGGTATTTACGTATGCCTCGTTCGAGGAAATTCCATTTCGTAAGCACACATTTACTTTTCCTCGATGAAATACTCGTCGAAATCTTCCGTGCGAATTTAGAGGGGGAGAAAGAGAAAGAAAGAAAGAGAGATCGATATTTATTTAATTCTCGTCGTAAAACGTGAGCGTGCTGCGAAATTTTAATGTGCTACGCTGAGGTATTCGTAGGAATTAGCGATTATTGATC